CTATACCCAATTTGCTTAGAGTTTTCATCATGAAATGGTGTTGTATTTTATCAAATGTTTTCTCTGCATCTATTGAGATAATCATATGGTTTTTCTTCTGCAGTTTGTTTATCCACGTGGCCCTTGTTCTCTGGTTGCCTCTCCTGGACTTCTTTGTAGGATGGAAAAATTTTCAAAGAGGACACAGGTGAAGCTTCGGGGCTTGCGGCTTGAGTTCCAGACTCCTACACACCACTTCCACCACATCCTGTTCATCAAAGCAAGTTATTAGGCCGAACCACATGCAAGCAGTGGGGGAACAGACAGAACCTCTTTTCAGAAAGAGCTACAAACCACTGCTGGTCTGACATGCAGGCAGAGTAGGGAAGCAGCGCTAAGTTACTGGCAGTCAGAGGATGCCTTCCTTGCTGTCTTGCACTTACTTGAATGATAATTAAAGGCATTTCTGCATGCAGTGAGTTGAAATCTCACCGCCATGAATTACAATTATTTGTTGAGGTGGAGCTGTGATAATAACAGCTGTTTGTGCTGACAAACGTGAAGCCGGGAGACTGAGGATCCCAGACTGCAGAACGGCCCTTGTGCACCCCTGACAGCAGCCAGCTACTCGTGGGTTGTGAGAACTTCTGATTGGCTCCTTACACTCACAGAGAGTGTATGATGTCTTTACACCTGAGGACTTAATATAGTGGAAAAAAACAAAAAGCAGAAAAATGAAAGAAAAATGCCAAGAGGCAGATGGTGCCATCTAAAATTCTTCTTGTATCACCAAACTAAGACTACTGAAACACTGCAGCAGAAATCAAAAGAGGCCCCGGAAATGCAGAGTTTAGTGCGACTGGCTTGGTGAAGCACAGTTTTATTTCATTCAGGAGGAAGTACTGACATTCAGCAAATTCTCTACTCATTCCTCCTAAGAGAACTTACCTCTTACTATGGGAAAATTACCATCCAGTGCCTACCCACACCTCACCTGACAGTGATCTGAGTCATGTCCAAGCTGCAGCTTTGGGAGCCACCACATTCACCAAACCACAGGGTTTCTGGTGGTAGACAATCGTGTAGATGAGTAGTGGGTAGATGTAGTGGGTAGAGGAAAGTCATATTCTAAAAAGAATACAAGCCGGGGCCAATGCTGTGGCATGTCCCGGCTGCTCCTCTTCCAAACCAGCTCTCTCTTAATGGCCTGGGAAAGCAGTAGAAGATGGCCCAAGTGTTTGGATTCTTGCACCTGTGTGGGAGACCTGGAAGAAGCTCCTGGCTCCTGGCTTCAGATCAGCTCAGCTCTGGCTGTTATGGCCATTTGGGAAGTGAACCAGTAGATGAAAGACCTTTCTCTCTCTCTCTCTCTCTCTCTCTCTCTCTTTCTCTCTTTCTATAACTCTACCTCTCAAATAAATAAATCTTTTTAAAAAAAAAAAAAAAGCCAGGAATTTATCTGGGTTTCCCAGTGGGTGCAGGGCCCCAAGGACTTGGGCCATCTTCCGCCGCTTTCCCAGGCCATTAAGAGTGAGCTGGATTGGAAGTGAATCAGCCGAGACTTGAACCAGCACCCATATGGGATGCCGACACTGCAGACTGTGGCTTAACTGGATGTGTGCCCCAGCACCAGCCCCAACAATTCCTGCATAATATTGGCTTGTGATAGATTAAGACACATCACACGAGGAAATGGACCACGACTGCTTGTTCCACATTATAGTTCTGAGTTGGCTACTGCCGGAAGCCCCAGGAGTTTCTCTGACCTGGGACAAATGAATTTCTCAGTTGTGGATTTTCACACCTAAGATCAATCTAAAAATTGAATTCTAAACCACATAAACTATAACCTTTCAGTATGAATGCAGATTTTTTTTAACAGGCAGAGTCAGACAGTGAGAGACAAAGAGAAAGGTCTTCCTTTTTCCGTTGGTTCACCCCCCAAGTGGCCGCTATGGCCAGTGCACTGCGGCCGGCGCACCGCACTGATCCGAAGCCAGGAGCCAGGTGCTTCTCCTGGTCTCCCATGCGGGTGCAGGGCCCAAGGACCTGGGCCATCCTCCACTGCACTCCCTGGCCACAGCAGAGAGCTGGACTGGAGGAGGAGCAACTGGGACAGAATCCGGCGCCCCAACCAGGACCAGAACCTGGAATACCAGCACCGCAGGTGGAGGATTAGCCTAGTGAGCAGTGGTGCTGGCCTATACAGATTTTCTTTTACCCTTCCATCAACACTGCTCGGAGGTAAGATTCTTCAGACTTCTCTTGGTCAGTGGGCTGAATTTTTCCCGTCTCAGATTAGGATTCCTTCTAGAATCTTGGCTTTTAATGGTCCTATGTAATACCTTTGGCTTTGTGGGAGGGCATAGCCAGCCCTCACACTGGCTATCCTGAAGGTATAGCAACAAATCCCAGATGGAACAGTCTGTTCTTGAGTTGGTCACAGACTGAACAAAACAGCAGCTGATATTCTTCATTCTGGAATTTGGGGATTTTAATTTTATTTTAGTTCAGAAATTTATTGCTTTAAACATTGAATCCAGAATTCCTGCGTCTATGTAGTCAAATGATAGATCCATGCTAACTCAAGTCTCTCAGTTATATTTTCTCCAAGAGGAATTTTTAACTGCTAGACACTGGAATAATTTATACTTATTTTAAGCAATAAAATAGAATTCTTAATGAACTATTTGATTAAATAAATATCTACTTTCATGAAATTGGTGATATTCCCAGAAGATATTTTTTCTCTTTTAAATACTGAGCCAATCTAAACTAACATAAGACTGACAACAAGAACTTCTTACAGAGAAATTAGGCAGTCCCTGTTAATCAATGACACTTCTTGGTTGACCAGGAAGACAGAAGGGGAGAGGGAGAGACATTACCCACATAAATGGAGACCTGGTAGACATAATCTAATTTGACTTTCTAAAAGCCTTTGTCTAAGTTTTACAACAAAGATTATTAAAATAATTGATTCTCTAGGACTTTAGATTATTGTTCATTAATATTTACTTGCTCCTTTTCTCTCCCTGCTGAGAGAAGTATCCTTTCCTCTCCTTGAAATGTGTTGTATGCCTGGGATTGCTACCAGAAGTGGGGTTGCTAGCTAACATACAGAACACCTCATTTAACTGGAATTTCAGATAAACAGAGTGTAAGTATGCCCAATGCTATTCAAACATGACTATAACAAAAAATATTTGTTATTCATCTGAAATTCAAATTTAATGGGAAACCTTGTATTTTATTTGTAAAAATGGCAACTAGACTCCAAAAGGAAGTCTCAAACCAACCTATGACCAGATGCCAGCTCCAGCCTTAATTTGCCAAACACCAAATGACCTGCTGACATGTGACCAAGAAATAAATACTTGTCACTGTATGTGAGGAGAGTTTGTGGTTGCTTGTTATACAGAAATAGCTGAGTGTCAACCATGGTGGCAGTGAGAAACTAGCTTAATGCTCCAATCAGTGTGAGAGATGAGCAGATGGTTTCCTTCAGTGAAAATAAAAATGGGGGAATGGCCATGATTGATTTTATTTTAAATTTTCATAAATTTTTGGCAGGCATAGGTTAATTAATATCTAGGTTTAGAGATGAAATTGTTTTTATGGCTGGTATAAGCAAACCTATTCGTGTTAAACTGAAGGAGAATCCCATTTGTTAAAACAGACTTACAGGTCAGACATGGTTTAGTTTGAATCTAGACTGTGAGAACTCAAGGAGACCAGTTAACTTCTAAGCTTCAGATTCCCCGTCTACAACGTGGGGACAATACTACCTGCCTCAATCAGTTAGAATGATGATTAACCAGATAAGACATATGAAGTCCCTGGAACACACCAAATATTCAATAATAGGTGGTCCTTTAAAGTTCTTTTGTAGTACACAGAAAAATGGCAACCAATATCCAGCATCAACCAATGAAATACTGCGTCCAGGGGAACTATGGGAAACCTCTCTTAGAGGAAAATGAGTGCAGGTGCCCAGCAGAGCCTCATGCTGGCCCTGCGCTGAGGTCCTGAGCTCTGTCACTGGGGTAGAACGCTGTCCTGATTTTTTCAGTGTCACTTCCAATGATGGTGCTGAAATGAAGGAAAGAACTTGCTAACTACTCAGTCAGTTCTCTTCTCTGCCTAACGGCGAGTCTACTGAGTCCACCAAGTGTCAAAGTCAAAGAAGAGGCTGCTTGTGAACGAGGAGGCCTGCAGCTCCAGCCCCACGCTATGACCTCACTGTGTGGCCGTGGTAAACCCTCCCAGCCTCTGCAGCCGGCGAGGTGGGCACAGGCCTATATATTCTCTACAGACTCTAGAGGCACAGTGACTCACCCACATAAAGTACAAAGCTAACAGCCCTGGTGGCTCCATGAAGACAGCGCTACAACCAAGGAAGTTGGGTTCAGATTGGAAGGATGAGGAGGGCATTCCAGGTGAAGGAGGAGACATCAACAACCAAAGCAAGCAAGCCTGGGTCCTGCTCAGGGAGAGTGACTAAGCCAGTGCCGCAGGCCCCAGGACCCCACGTGGAAAACCACAGACCTGCCTTTAAGTGAGCCGCAGAAGGTGACACCCGGCAGCACGGCTGTTGTCTCCACTGGAGTGACGCTGTTAGCCTGCTGCTGTCACATCCACATTGTCAAGAAGACGAGTCACGGGGCGGTAATCATGAGAGTGTTTGAAGGCAAAGAGTACAGGTTCCCTTCAGGGCCAAGGAGCAGGGTGATCAGGCACCATCCTAGTTGTGAACACACATGCTTCCCCCTTCTCAGGTCAGGGGTATTTCAAGGCAAAGTCACCAGAATTGAATCCAATGTCTAAATTTGGTAAGAATTCACAATAAGAAAAAAATGAAAGAATATTTGTGGTGTGTGCACACTCATAAGTATGAGGTAAGGGATGACCGAAAATACCATTAACCAATGCTAAATCCTCACCTAATTGGCCAGAGATTAATAAGGAATGACCTTGTGCCCTGGGGGTCATCAGCGCCCGGCCAGGGTATATAAAGGGCCCAGGGCAGGAGGAAGGCACTCACACCTGACAACACCCAACTCCTCTCAACCCACCAGCCCACACCAGCCCCAGACACCACCATGACCGGCTCCTGCTGCGGCTCCTTCTCCTCCCAGAGCTGTGGGGGAGGCTGCCTCCAGCCCTGCTGCTGCCGCGACCCCTGCTGCTGCCGCCCCGTGTCCTGCCAGACCACCGTGTGCCGCCCCATCACCTGCGTGCCCCGCTGCACGCGCCCCATCTGTGAGCCCTGCCGCCGCCCCATCTGCTGCGACCCCTGCGGCCTGCAGCAGGGCTGCTGCCGCCCCATCAGCTGCTGCCCCTCGTCCTGCACGGCCGTGGTCTGCAGGCCCTGCTGCTGGACCACCACTGGCTGCCAGCTCCTGTCTGTGCAGGCCCCCTGCTGCCGGCCGCCCTGCTGCCAGCCGGCCCCCTGCCGCACTGTCTGCAGGACCTCCCCCTGCGGCTCCTGCTACTGAGCTGCTGTCTCCACAGAGCAACTCCCTGGAGCCCAAGAATCTACTTTGCCTTTAAATGAAGTTGAAAGAAAAACCAATCGCCTCACCCCTCACCCAAAGCGACAGTAGTTTTACAGCCTGATATAAGCAGACGCCCAGCGCCAGCCTCAGCTGAACTCCCGTGGGCTACACCAGCAGAAGTCATCAAGGACAGCACACTGACCTGTAAAGTCCCTGGTGTGGACTTTGCAGCGCAGCCTGAACCCTGAAGGTTCCGGCTGCTGGACGCCCAGCGTCACCTTTTGTAATGCACTGCTTACTGTTGTCAATAAACTGATTTTTCCTGGCACAGCAGACTGCCCCGTTGCCTGATTCACTCATTGGCACCTGTTCATTCGTAAACCCAGATGAGCAGGATTTTAGAATCTACACAAGGGAACCAAAGCTCAGCCTAAGCAGAACTTTATCCAAGGGAATCCCACGCCTTGAGTAGCTGCTTATCAAGGGACTGTCCAAGGCTGCTCCTGCCCTACTAGGGACAAACGAGCTACATCCCTTGCAGCCGTGGAGCTCACAGTCAGGTGAGAGAACTGAGGAAACACGGTGTTAGTGAAGAAGGGCAGAAGGAGTGGGGACAGAATACACCAAGCCTGGAGTGGGCCCAGCAGACTGACCAGCCCAGCACATCCCATCTTCTTACCACTGCGCCTGGAACAGCACTTTTCAAAGTGTGGTCCATGCACATCCTTAGGGCCCAGATGAATCCATGGAATCAAAATATCTGGCAATGGGGGGGGGGGGGTCAAGAGTGTGCATTATTTTATGATTAGAACTGCAGGATCTGCCCCTCAGGGGACGATCTGGATTTGAGGAATGGCAAGCGTGACCCCAAACTCTTCCAAGAGCATTCACCAGAACAAGCCACAGTGAAGACACCCGGAGCTAGCAGGCGAAATGTGGTCATAGGATTGCAACAGCACCTGCTGGACTGTCATCAGGATGAATTCAGAGGGGAAAACTTTTTCCTTAAAGTGCAAAAGGAAAAAATCTTGGGCTTTTTAGGACTTGAATAAAAATGGCAATGATAACCCAAAAGAGACAAGAAAGGGAAGGGATGAGGGACTCAGGAGACAGTGGAGAAGAGAGAAAGGTGCAGAGGCCGCTGCGTGGAGACGCAGAAGATGAGGGAGACAGAAGGGGAAGAGACAGGTGCTGGGAATCCTACGAGCATCGGAAGGGGATGCAAGAGACCAAGGCTCCTCCTCGGACTGCTCACGTCGGCAGGAAATCTGTGCGAATGCAGCCCTCTGCCACCGCCCTCCGCCCCCCTCTGCAGACCCAGGCTTCCCACTCCTCACTGTTTTGCTTCAAGCTTCATAGTTACTGGATACTTGCAGTTCCAAATGTCCTTGCTTTTGCACACGTTCTTTTGTTTATATGGAATGCTTTTCCACCCACTTCTTCCCTTCACCTTCTGCATCTACCTAACTGATCCACTTCCAAGATTCAGCTCCACCTTTTCCAGTAGTGCCGTTCTAACACCCTTACTAATGCTTACACCACACACATGCATGCATGCCAATGCACATTCGTGTGAAAACACACACACACACACCAGGCTACATTAGGTGGCTCTAGTGTTTTCCAACAGCATCCTGAGCTTACCTCCCTCCTTATAAGGCATTGTGTTGAATCATCTATTTATTTGTCCCCTACGAAGGGACCAATTTGCCTATTTTGGTTCCTGGTACAGAGATCGATGTTTAGTACATAGTTGAAACTTGATATCTACTTGTTGGGTCAAACTCAACTGGAGTGGAATTGTCCTCACGACACGAAGTGCAAACAGTAGATATTCACAAGCAAGAATTCAACATCAGCATAGCTTAGCCACTCTGAACCTCAGCTTTTCTCATCTGCACAATGGGAAAACTAACACTCAGCAATGCAGATTGCTGGCAAAGCTAACTGACCTCATGTGTGTCAAATGCCTGGCACTTGGGGAGCGCCCAGCACCGTTCAGTTCCTTCTATTCCCTGTGGTGCATTTGACCATCACAGCATCAAACAGCCGCAGGAGACGTGCTGCCTGTTCCACTCTGAGCTTTGAGAGTAGGCAAGAACTCAGGAGAAGGATTTTTTTTCCCCAGGATAGACCGAGGAGATCGATTTCCTACTAAATATAATAAACAAGTGAAAAAACCTTCAAATTCAGGCTCGGATCTTTCAAAATGGATTCTGCAAGTCTGTAGTAGTGAGTCCTAGATGGCAGGGTTTGGGAACAGGAGTTCAGCATTAGAGAGAAGAGGAACCCTGCACCCATTTATATCTCTGGTAATTAGATGCTTTCTTTCACACTAAACAATCCAAGAGAATTAAATAGCAAAAGCTGTAAGAGACTCCTGGTTTAGTTTTCCTTGTCTTTAAGCAGAAAATTTATTCACTCATTTATTTATTTATTTAATTCTGAGTAAACTTCTATCAGTTCCCTATTTAATTTTTCTGACTGTTCTAAGTAAAATATTTTCTGCTTTCAATTACTGATAATCGCCTGTCCATCTTCCACATTTGTACGGATTTTAGGCTTAGCCTATGAGGGACACCAGGCACTGAAGAGTCTGCCCATTTCACAGATGAGGAAAGTGGGACTGGGAATGTGCAGCTCCCTTGCTCTGTGTCACACCACACAGATCTGAATCCCACTTCCCCTGGATCACCCCCCTGCTGCCCCTACCCCTCAGCCCTCCCCGTCCCCATCTCACTCTCAGGACTGGAGGGTGTGTGCAAAGATTCTGAGAATGGATTGCCCCAGGCAGTGCATATTCTGTCCTCAGAATCCTTACACCTTCCCAACAGCCACTGGTCCCCAAATTAGTTCCTAACAAAACAAGACCAGGGCATCGCTCACCATCACATAGGTTACTCTTAGCACATTCTGTTTTGATTCAAACACAACAATTCCCACACCCGTCATCACCGTAGTTAACAACTACTTGCTAATACTGACGTTAGGCTTGGGAGAATGTGTGGATCTGGACGAGGGGCACATCCCTGGCCCTCAGGCTGAGGTCACTGCTGTGCCGCAGCAAAGGCCACAGCACGGCCGAGCAGCGGGGCCGTCCTGGCACTGAAGCACTTGGAGGAGCGCTGTGGCTCTGAGAACGCTACGTGAAGCGGTGCAGGGGTAAGCTCAAAGTCTGCCCAAAGGGCTGCCTGCCAAGGACTCAGCATCAGCACCGGGCTGTGGGACAGACGTGGGGCCTCTTCCATTGGAGACTTGAGGGTTAAGGTACACGGGCAACGCTTGTCTGAGACCGTATCATCTGAACTCCTGCCTCGGGGGTGAGACACGAAGGCCGCCTCTCCGTGTCCTGCGCAGGCGGGAGGGAGATCCCGTCTCAGGAACACGACTTTGAACAGCAAAGCTTCTGACGGTCTAAGCCTTTAGAAAGCAGACGTCTTAGTCCGCCATTCTGTGAATTAACAGCAGCGATGAGTGCGCACACGTTTCCTATCCCTGCCATCTGGAGCTCCGTGTCTGTCCTAAGCCATCTGTCCCACGAGATGGAACAGAATTGTTGGTGACTATGGTAGCTACTGCTGCGCGGTCACTGTCCTGGGCAACTCAGATTTGGAAAGAGGCCAGGAGTCGCTCCTCAGTGTTTACACCCGACAGGAGCCCTGTGGTTCCGGGAAAGCTTGGCCACTTTTTCATCTATGCGACTCTGGAGACACCGCTTCACACATATGATCTTCCAAAAACTGGAATGGCCTACGATGGAACAGAAGCTCAGACCTCAGGCGTTCACGAGGAAGGCGATCAAAGAGTGTATATAAAATGAGCACACACCCAAACTGCCTCAGCCGTCCAATGTGGCCTGAAGGCCACGAGCAGCCCTTGGGCAATGCTGTCTAACAGACTTCCCAACGCTGAACGTACTTTCGAGCCCCAGCTTTCTTAGCTGTAGCTGAAAAAAATGAGGCTATTGTATCCACCACCAGCTTGCTGGTTTCCCTGTCTTTTCATAATCCTTTTATACCTCATAAACAAATTCCTCATCCAACAAACCCCAATGTCTACAAAAGATAACTGGTCTCTTCACAAATATTTTCCATACCTTTGGAAGAATCCAATAGGAAGCGCATGCCACACCCGGAAGGCAGAAATACCACATTTTCATTCACTGCCCATGATCAGGGACGGGCATGCAGACAGACACAGGACAGGTAAGACTTGTCCTGTCTGCTATTGTTCCGGGAGAAGCTCTTCCCCTTGATTGCTTGCTCTCCCTTCAGCTTGCATTCCTGAAGTTTGTGATTACTGTCCAGAATCTACCTTGCTTCTATTCCCTTTCCTCCTGTGCCTCCAAATAGGCCAGCACCATTCACACAGTCTCTTTCCACACACTTACTGTGATTCAACTTAGATGCCGACTCAGATTCCACAACAATCCCTTCAGTGACTGGGTGATCACAAATACCTTCCAGAGCAAGGTGAACTCTATGCTGTTTTACAGAAGCAATGGCCATTGTTGCCTGCAGCAGAATCAATACACATCCTCCTTTCTGAGCCCATGTGGTTTTCGAGAAATGTCTGATTCATCACCACGCCAGCTGGGAACCGGGCCTGTGAGTCACGGGCATCCCGGCCCCACGCCTCATCTCCAGTGGTGAACAAGAGGAAAGTGTGGTGACGGCAACACCAGAGCCTTCAGACCTGCAACTTGTCACATGACCCGGTCTGGAAGGACTGGCTGACGGATGGGCAATTTTTCTGATGACATAAATCATCAAATATTCGTGGAAAGGGAAGCATGGCTCAGCAACGCTGGAGAGGCTGCCTCAGGAACTGAATCCAGGGTTTCTGTTTCAATGGCAACCACAGCTGCAGGAAGTGACCCTGCGCCCTGGGGGTCATCAGCGCCCGGCCAGGGTATATAAAGGGCCCAGGGCAGGAGGAAGGCACTCACACCTGACAACACCCAACTCCTCTCAACCCACCAGCCCACACCAGCCCCAGACACCACCATGACCGGCTCCTGCTGCGGCTCCTTCTCCTCCCAGAGCTGTGGGGGAGGCTGCCTCCAGCCCTGCTGCTGCCGCGACCCCTGCTGCTGCCGCCCCGTGTCCTGCCAGACCACCGTGTGCCGCCCCATCACCTGCGTGCCCCGCTGCACGCGCCCCATCTGCGAGCCCTGCCGCCGCCCCATCTGCTGCGACCCCTGCGGCCTGCAGCAGGGCTGCTGCCGCCCCATCAGCTGCTGCCCCTCGTCCTGCACGGCCGTGGTCTGCAGGCCCTGCTGCTGGACCACCACTGGCTGCCAGCTCCTGTCTGTGCAGGCCCCCTGCTGCCGGCCGCCCTGCTGCCAGCCGGCCCCCTGCCGCACTGTCTGCAGGACCTCCCCCTGTGGCTCCTGCTACTGAGCAGCCGAATACAAAACACTGCCAGGAGTCCAGCACCTGTAAACTCCTCCCAGTCCTGCCCTGATGAGAAACACTACTGGTACCGCCCACCTGTTCCACAACTAAGTCAACTCCAACTGCCTATGGCTTTTCTCTCGTAATTATGCAGAATCCCAGACCTCAGTGAGAATCCGAAGAAAAACATCAGCTATCATCATTTGAATTATTGGCTTCACAAGAAATGAGTAAACAAAGATCAAAGAATGTGAATGGAACTCTCTCCCAGAGACCCGTTGTTCCACCATTTCCAGGTTCTCATACGGAATCTCCCCTCTCCCACCTTCCCACCAGGACAACATTATTCTTATACTGTGTTTTTGCATGGTAAAAAAAAATTAAAATTTTATTTCTGGGAAAGCAGATGTTTCTTTTTATTGTTTCTTACTCTTCAAAAGCTCATTTTTAGCTTAAGTTATGCTATGTAGACTCAGAGGAAAGAAAGGAAAGCTTTGCTTAAGGTCTGCATTTTGAGCTTTCAGAAGGAAACAGTCCAGGCCAAGCTCTGCAATCTAAGAGCTACTGCAATAACTCAGCTCGTTCCATGCAGTGGCCCTCGTGGTTCAAGCTCCAGGCTTTGCGATGATGCTGGGGACACACTGAGGTTTTAGCAGATCTCTCTGATCATGAGCTTGACTCATGAATAATCCACACACATAGGAAGGCAGAAGCAGCCTCAGCTACAGCCACACTGTTCTGCAATGCAGAAAAGTGTAGTGATTGATGTAGAAAAGCACCCAGGAGTCTCTGAACTCTGAAAGCCCCATCCTGGGAGAACCTCTATCCCACCCTCCATGGCTCCCGCCAGTACCACTGTACAAATTTTCTGTTACTATAACAGAATACCTGAGGCTAGGTCCCTGTAAAGAAAAGAGGTTTATTGGGCTCACCACCCTGGAGGCACCAACTCCAGCTAGGGCCCCTGACTACATCTCCTTGTGGCAGATGACATCATGGCAGATGCACACACAAGAGAGGGAGCTCAGGTGGTGAGACGGGAATCAGAGGAGACAGACTGGGGACTGGCTGGGGTCGCGCAAGAAAGACACTAATTCTTTCAAGGCCAGTGCCTCCAGTCTTCCAGGGACCTCCTCCTACACCCTGCCTCTTAAAAGCCCCACCAGGACCAAGCTTCCAACACATGAACCCTTGGGGTATAAACCCAAACCCTATGCAAACCACAGCCAATTCCAACCCAGTGGAACTGCTACTTCTGAGAAGTGGAAATGTAGCCTTGGTTGGAACCATCCTAATTTTGAACTTCACATGCATTTTTATAATGTCAATGTGGTTGAAAAGGTGGCAAAACTAATCCATAGATGTGTTCTTCCTGTGAAGCGCTATTAGGCTGGTAGGAAAAGTAACCACTATATTTTCCCTGAGAAACATGCTTTGAGCTCTGAACACCTGCCCTAAGAGATTTTGTTTTAAAGTTCTGCCTCTCACACTAATCCACTGTTGGTAGGAAGGCAAACTGGTAAAGCCTCTATGGAAGACAGTTTGGAGATTCCTCAGAAATCTGAATATAGCCCTACCATACGACACAGTCATCCCACTCCTTGGAATTTACCCCAAGGGATATTAAATTGGCAAACTAAAGAGCTATCTGCACCTCCATGTTTATACAGCTCAATTCACAATAGCTAAGACATGGAATCAACCCAAATGCCCATCAACAGAAGATTGGATAAAGAAATTATGGGATATGTACTCTATGGAATACTACAGAGCAGTAAAAAAAATGAAATCTGGTCAATTGCAACAAAATGGAGGAATCTGGAAAACATCTTCCTGAGTGAAATAAGCCAGTCCCAAAGGGACAAATATCATATGTTCTCCCTGATTTGTGACAACTAACCGAGCACCTAAAAGGAAACCTGTAGAAGTGAAACTGACAATATGAGAAGCAATGACTTGATCAGCTCTTGTCCTGACTGTCGAGGGACAGCTTACTATTTTATTCTTTTTAGTATTTTTTTGTTCTACTTAATACCATTGGTTGAACTCTTTACTTAACATAGAATTATATTAGGTGTTTAAATCCAATTGAAAATTGATCTTCGTTAAAAATAAGAGTGGGAATAAGAGAGAGAGAAGCTGTACAGTTCAGCACACTCTCCCTCAGACTTACCCCTAAGGGTAAAGCTAAAAACTTGCCATGGGCTCCAAATCCCATTAAATTGGCAGGTACCAATGCCATCTTACTAGTTGAAGTGATCACTTTAAGTTCATAACTGATCATAAAGATAGAATTAAGTGTCAAAGGGATCACATAAGTAAGACCAAGTGTCTACTAATAATAATTGATAGAATTAGAAAGAAGAGAATGATCCAACATGGGAAGCAGGCCACACAGCAGACTCATAGAATAACAAATGCCCTAAACAGAACTCTGGCCTCAGAAGCAGCCCTTAAGGCATTCAGATCTGGCTGAAAGCCCATGAGAGTTTTTCAGGCATGGAAAGCCAAGACACTGCAGCAACAAATTACTTAACATGAAAGATAACTGTGAGTCAGAGCCCTGTGGAAAGAAGGGGCTATCAAAGAAGGAGGTACCTTTCTCTGAAGGGAGGAGAGAACTTCCACTTTGATTATGGCCTTGTCTAAATAAGGTTGAAGTTTGTGAAATCAAGAGGCTTCCATAACCTTGGCAGCTCATGACAAGAGCCTCGAGTGATCATGTCATAAATGTTAATTATTAATTCAAAAACGGGAGTCACTGTACACTTGCTCCCCCTGTAGGATCTCTGTCCTTAATGTGTTGTACTATGAGAATTAATGGTAAAACTAGTCTTTAAACAGTACTTTATATTTTGTGTGTCTGAGTGGGTGCAAACTGTTGAAATGTTTACTTAGTATAGAGTTGATCTTCTGTATATAAAGATAATTAAAAATTAATCTTAATGAAGAATGGGATGGGAGAGGGAATAGGAGGTGGGAATGTTTGAGGGTGAGAGGGCGGGTATGGGGGGAAGAACCACTATAATCCAAAAGTTTTACTTACAAAATTCACATTTATTAAATAAAGGCTTTCTATAAGAAAATAAAATGGCAAAAAAATTCTGCCTTTGTGCTTAGGCATTTCTGTGTGCCTGTTGAGAGGAGGTGAACTATACGACAGCAGGGCTGTTAACTGACTTTGCTTATTACTGGATTCCCACTAATCTGCACCATATGAGGCACACAGAATGTAATCAAAATTATTTGTTGAATGAATAAGTTCTGGTGGGGGGTTAGAAGAGAAAATATACCATCACTTCTCTCCAACTCTCTGCTGTGGTACTTGACATGTGGATTCTTACCACAAAAGAACATACTATCTCATGAAGAAAAGTATTTTTCTTGAAATATAGTGAAAGTTTCTGGGGTAGGCATTTGGCCTACCAGTTACAACACTGGCATCTCACAGTGGAGTGTCCGTGTCCACTCGTAACTCTGGCTTCCTGAGGATGATGACCCTGGGAGGCAGCAGGCAATGGCTCAATAACTAATCCCTGCCACCCACAGGATACCTGGATGCAGTTCCCAGTTCTTGGCTAAAGTCTGATGTAGCCAAGTCCCCACTGTTATAGGCATTTGGGAGTGAATCAACAGATGGGAATGTACTCACTTGCTCCGTCTTTCTCTCCTTCTCTCAAGTGTTTTTTTAAAATAAACATACACATACGCCTCTTTTTCCAAAGATGGTATGTAGAATCATTTTAGCATGCTGCTTTTACTGCGCAAACTTTTAAAAATGCAGTTTTTGCTTCCCTGATGGTCTCCTTTCCTCCTGACCACTGAATAACCCCAGGTGTCGGTGATACTGCCTTGGTGGCCATAGAGTTACATTTGTATCTAATTCCCATACACATATGTGAAGGTACTTGAAAAAATAATGGAATAAAAAGATAAATTTATTTTGATGCAAAAAAATGAAATCCACATATAATTTTGCCATATACACATTTTTCTATTAACTTGTTGAAGACTCCTTACACACATGGATTTCAAAATTTTCACATTAAAAGAAGCTTGCCTTTGAAGTCCATTTCCATGAAGTATTTTCATATACTCACACACTTAATAATCATATATATTGGCCGGCGCCGTGGCTCAATAGGCTAATCCTCCACCTGCGGCGCCAGCACACCAGGTTCTAGTCCCAGTTGGGGCACCAGATTCTGTCCCGGTTGCCCCTCTCCCAAGCCAGCTCTCTGCTGTTGCCCGGGAGTGCAGTGGAGGATGGCCCAAGTGCTTGGGCCCTGCACCCGCATGGGAGACCAGGAGAAGCACCTGGCTCCTGGCTTCGGATCAGCGCGATGCGCCGGTCGTGGCGGCCATTGGAGGGTGAACCAACGGCAAAGGAAGACCTTTCTCTCTATCTCTTTCTCTCTCTCTCACTGTCCACTCTGCCTGTCAAAAATAAATAAATAAATAAAATAATCATATATATCAAATATTATTATTAGAGAAACATAATTCTATATCGTTCTCTGCCTCTTAGTTTTTACTTAACAGCATATTGTGGAAATGCTTCAAATTATTGATTATAAGTTGAAATTATTTGCTGCGATTTGTTGCATGTTATCTCATGGTCTGGTTTTACCAAAACTTATTCAATATTTTACACATTAATTGACATTCATTTATTTGTTTGCCCCTCCCCTAAAAATCTCATTAATCATTCTTATATAGCATTCTTAATTTCCATGGGATGAATTCCCAGTAATAGGAATGCTGATTTAAAAGGTCTATGTATTTAAAATAAATTGCCAGACGGCTGTAACAATTCCTACTTCCTGCAGCAATGCACAAGTACTTTCTTTCCCACCTCTCCGTCATCAAAGGTGTCGTCACTTTTTAAATTCCTACCAGTATCATATGTGTAGTAATACCTCATTTTACACTACTAAGATTGTGTGTGTGTGTATATTTAGTATTTTAGGCCTTTTTTTAAAAAAAAGAACATTAAAAAATCCAATGACATTTTTAGTACTTCACTGATACACAGTACTACAGAAACATGTCTGCAGAAGACTACATCGACTATTTGGGGGAAAAAGTTGGAATACCACGTTAAAAAAGAAAAAAGGTTCTAACAAAAAGCCCATCATGTTCAAAACCTTTGCACGTTCAGTATGTGCACGGCAGAGCTTTCTCTTTGGTAAGGGTCTGACAGCTTGCCCACGGATAGACTCCTACGTCCAGTCTCTTTCTACCTACATGGATCACCCTTTTAAATTCTCCTACTACATGCTTTCCTCCTATAGAATTCTCTTTGATGGCCTTCGAGTAACTTCCTTAGCTTGCAGCACTTTTCATGCAATGCCTTGTTTTGCCCCAAATTCACCATTATTGTTGGATCTTGTTTGTTTCCCTGGTAACCCCATGCCCCAGTGAGCCCCAGAAGCTGGGGAAATCCAGGTGAGCCTATGACAGACTGTACGAGGGCTGTGACCAATAAGAAGGCTTGAACTTGAGCCTTTGGCCACGTACTTAGAAGGGAGTTTGTTGTAAAGAGAAAGGTCAGTACCAAGCAAATCAAGAGGCAAAGGCTACACAATGACTGAGTGACATAATTTTCCTGTAAGTCCTGACAGTTTGAAACCACCGAAAAATCACAATTGGATTATAAGCGGGAATGAGCCTAAGCACAGCACACACGGAGATGCAGGGGACCCTGGGTATGAACTGGGCCGGGTCTGAAACACCTCCAGCTGGAAGAACTCTGGGAAGATCACACTTCCACCTAGCCAGGCTCAGGTCCCTTGACTTCCTCACCATCCTGGTGGCTTTGCTCATGGTGCCCATGACCACTCAACCATGCCCAACTGTGAGACTATCTCCTAGGGTTATATTTGGAATTTTCTGAATGCTGAGTGTGAGTTAGGAATTCCTATTTCTGAAGACATTGGTAAGATATAGAGATGACTCTAACAACTAACCATGCCACAAATAACAATTGCTTTAAAACTGAATGTTTAATTTAAATCCCTATATAAAAGTATTTCCTTTTTTGTAAAAAAAAAAAAAAAGATTTATTTCAATTCAGAGTTACAGAGAAAAAAGAGAGACAGACAGAAAGGGAGAGGGAGGGGTAAAGGGAGAGATGGGGAGAAACAGACAGTGAGATCCATCTACCATCCCTGGTTCACTCCCAAAATGGCCACAATGGCCAGGGCTAGGCCAGGCCAAAGTCAGGAACCAGGAGTTTCCTCTGGGTCTCCCATGTAGGTGGCAGGTGCCCAAGCCCCTAGACCATCTTTCTCTGCTTTTCCAGGCCATTAGCAGGGGGCTGGATCAGAAGTGGAACAGCCAGGACATAAACTGGCAGCCATATGGGATGCTGGTGGTCATAGCTTTACCCATTACCCCACAATACCAGCCCCTGAAAGGTACTTCTTAATGGCTGGGAATGTGATGCCCACAGTCTGTTCTGGGTTTACAATATTGCTCTCATAGATGGTTTTGGAAGCAGTATATTGGCTCAATACTGAGTAGGTGTATGACCTTGAACAAGCTATTTCCCTGATTCCGTATGTATAAAATGAGGAACATAATAATACCTATCTCATAGGAATCCTATAAAGAACAAATTAATCCATCTATTTTATTTAGAATGATATGATGCTTGCAGCATATTTAGACATGAATAACAGTGGCTATCATGAAGATTAAAAACAATGAAAGTCACCTTGGTTTGGGAAAATAAAACCATGGAAGTCAATGAACATGTATCTAAGACAAAAATCACTGACGATGCAGGCCAACTAAGATGTATGCCCACGGTTCCAAAAAGTAGACTGGAGGGTGGGCATGTGGCCTAGTAGTTAAGATGCTCCTTGGTACACCTGCATGCCATATCAGAGGGCCTGGGTTCAGGTACTGGTTCCACTTCTGATTGAGGCAGCAGGCAGTGACTCAAGTGCATGGGTTCCTGCCACCGACATGGGAGAATCGAATTGAATTCTTAACTCCTGCTTGTGGCCTGGCCTGGCCCCAGCTATAGGGGCATTTGGGGAATAAACCAGCAAATGGGAGATATTCTCTCTCTCTCTCTCTCTCTCAAATACATAAATAGCAAAACATGGGCTGGAAAATTATTCTTTTCCTGACAAGCCATGATTTTTTCAAAATATTCGTATACTACTTACTAGTCCCAATTTGTTTGGCTTGGCAGTGGAAAAGCACACTCATGGCTTGGGGAGCCCAAGGCCACTGTTAGTAAGTGGCCCAGAGAGCATGACAGCTACTTCATGCTACAAAAACATCACCCAGGGACGTAGAAGCATCACTGAATGGTAAAGGTAATTGGAGACTTTGAAGTAGGGTCATTAACTTCATATTTGAGCCATAAATAGCCAAATACAATGGGGCTCCATTAAATAAGGGACGCAAATAGTCTTCAGGAGTACCTGAGCACCTAAAAAATGTCTAGAAAACTTGCCAAAATGCCAATGTCACTCACAAAACAAGGAAATATCCTGCCCCCTGGGGGTCATCAGCGCCCGGCCAGGGTATATAAAGGGCCCAGGGCAGGAGGAAGGCACTCACACCTGACAACACCCAACTCCTCTCAACCCACCAGCCCACACCAGCCCCAGACACCACCATGACCGGCTCCTGCTGCGGCTCCTTCTCCTCCCAGAGCTGTGGGGGAGGCTGCCTCCAGCCCTGCTGCTGCCGCGACCCCTGCTGCTGCCGCCCCGTGTCCTGCCAGACCACCGTGTGCCGCCCCATCACCTGCGTGCCCCGCTGCACGCGCCCCATCTGTGAGCCCTGCCGCCGCCCCATCTGCTGCGACCCCTGCGGCCTGCAGCAGGGCTGCTGCCGCCCCATCAGCTGCTGCCCCTCGTCCTGCACGGCCGTGGTCTGCAGGCCCTGCTGCTGGACCACCACTGGCTGCCAGCTCCTGTCTGTGCAGGCCCCCTGCTGCCGGCCGCCCTGCTGCCAGCCGGCCCCCTGCCGCACTGTCTGCAGGACCTCCCCCTGCGGCTCCTGCTACTGAGCAGCCCACTACCACTAGGGGTCTCCCTGGATATGCCCAGGTCCATCAAGATGTCCTTGCTGGCTGTGTGGCAGAACAGCGTGCGCTTTCTTGAGAAACCCTTTCCATATGCCATGTTATCTGTTGTTGAATAAATAAACCTAACGCTGTCAGCTTGAAATTGTACTCTTTGTGATACTTCCCTGCGGCAGATTGTCTCTTTGTCCAGAGATTTCCGAGGCAAGATGCAGAACGGTGCTCTTCCAGTGTTCTCTGAAATAACGTCAGCACAGCGGCTTTCTCGTAAGCACCGGAAGTAGCATTCAGAGAGCACAGCAACTGAGGGAAGTGGGCATGACCACACGTCCAGCAGGTGTACAGATTCCCACACCCACACCAAACACCTGCAGCAACGACACGCTGGCTGGCCGCATCTGGGTTCACACACACACTCCCAGTCTATTGGTTTCACTGCTGATCCGACACCTGTTGGCACATCACAGAATGTCCAGTAGGTTAGAAGGGGAAGGGACCATAGACAGCACGTGGCCAATCACTTCTGGCTTTTTTTTTTTTTAAGATTGATTTGAAAGGCAGATTGACTAAAAGGCAAAGGGAGACAGAGAGATTCCATATGCCGGTTCACTTCACAAAAGGCCACAATGTCCGGGACTGGTCCAGGCAAAGCCAAGAGTCCAGAACTCCAACTGGGTCTCCCATGTGGGTAGCAGGGATCCAAGCACTTGGACCACTTTCTGCTGCCTTTAAAAGCATGTTAGTAGGGAGCTGGATTATAAATGGACCTGTCAGGACTTGAACTGCAGCTCTGATATGGGATGTTGGCAACACAATGTTTGCCCACCTCTATTTTTGAAGTTGAAGAAAAACAAGTAGTGAAAGATTAACTAAGGGGCTGGTCCTGTGGCATAGTAGGCTAAGCCTCCACCTGCAGCGCCAGCACCCTTATGGGTGCCAGGTCATGTTCTGGTTACTCCTCCTCTTCCAATCCAGCTCTCTGCCTAAGGCCTGGGAAAGCAGTGGAAGACAGCTCAAGTACTTGGGTCCCTGCACCTGCATGGGAGACCTGGAAGAAGCTCCTGGCTTCAGATCAGCCCAGTTTCAGCCATTGCAGCCATCTGTAGAGTGAACCAGAGAGTGGAAGACCTCTGTCTCTGTCTCTCCCCCTCTCTGTCTATATCTCTACCTCTCAAATAAATAAAAACTTTTCTTAAAAAAAGACTGTCACTTATTGAATCATAATAAGTATTTTCCATGAACTTTTGAAGGCCCCTTGTTTGCATGGATTTCATAGTTTTTTTTTTTAAATCAATTTATCTTTTAATTCTAATTCCCATGAATTTTTTGAAGTACCTTGTACTTCCCGTATGTTCATCAACACCTGATTTTCCTGAGAAGTCACAGCTTGATGAGAGGGAGCCCTCTACCTTCTGTTCAGGTGTTTTTATTTTACCTTATTCTGTTACTCAAAATCAACTCTGAATACTCGGATTTAATGTGTATTCAGTGATGGCATAGTAGAGAACTGGCCCCTTTCCCTGCCAAAAATGTTGGTCTTTGTTCTAAACTCAAACTCTAGAGTTTACAAGGTGCTAATATAATTTAAATATATTTATTTATTTAATCAATACAAGACACTGAGTGTTGGGAACTGTTCTCAGTGCTTGGCACATACTGGTTCATTTAATCCTCTCAACAATCCTGATATGCACTATTATTAATATGGCCCAAGCGTCCCCAGCCAGTAAGCGGCAGGGCTTTAAATTCACAGTGCCTGGTTTCAGGGCAAGTGGCGTCAGGAGACAGCACAGGCCGTGCCCCCAGTGTTGAGACACGCAGCTGTGTTCTCACAGCCCTGTCGCATGAATAGCTGCAGCATGGACCATATTTTCCCCACCTGAATATAGAATCCTCCCCTCACCCCCACCCCAGGGAGGGGGGAATACGTGTATTAGAGGAGTAAATGCCCAGGGATTCCCTGAGTGACTTACAGATCTTTCCTTGCGGGTCTTTATACAAGGGAGAGAAACTGCTCTGCAGTCACCTCGGACTTGGGTCAGGGGAGTCTGCATTAAAGACGTGAGCATTGCTCAGTAGATACATTCTGAAGAGGTTCCCATTGCACAAACTGGGATCATCGTGAAGACCCCATTGCCACACGAATACTGATCATGAGGGAACGTGCCCTGGCTACAGCAGAACATGCGGCTTCCTATCTAGGTTCTGGTTATGCTCTACCAAACTCTGTGTCCGGGAACAGAAGAAGGAATGGGAGACGTGAGAGTCAAAGGTCCTAACCATGAGACCAAGCTGAGTTCTCCCTCCAGATTCCCTAGCTGTGACTGTGTTGAATCAATTTACATTCCTTTCAGAGTTTTGAAATTATGTTTGAAATTCCATTTGAGGAGCTTGAGATCCTGGGGCCCCAGGCATTCTTTTGATGGATGAGGACAATCCTAAAGTAATCCTCCTCTTGTCTGGTGAATGACACAAGTGGTAAAAGTGGAAAGTAATGAGTCTCTTTCTCTACTGCCATTCCCAACCTGCCCCTGGCGACACTTCCCGAAGAAGCACATAAAACTCGTTTAGCAGGTGCCACGAGAGAAACACCATGTGTCCTCCCAGTGTGCGTCATCTCAACAGCATCCTGACTGTGTCTGCAATGCTGGCTGGAAAAAAAAAAAAACAAAAAACAAAAAACAAAAAAAAACAACCCTACATCATCTCATCACTTGAGAGTTACAGCATCCACATCACAGTGTATAAGAGCAAAGTTTCCCATTTCAAACTCTTCACTGCAAGCCCCAGGAAGGCAAGTGCTGAAAGGTCCTGATTCAGAGATGCAACACCAGCTGCACACCACCTGCACTGCAGGAAAGGAAGCTCCATGGCAGTCTCGGACACCTTATTCCTGTATTTAACCAAGTCTACGGAGAACACCTGTGCCTTTCCCATACAAGTGTAGGGGCTTCTGTCCTATCCAAGGACCAGATATTCTTCTATATCAAGTGATAGCAAATGTATTCCCAAGAAATCCACAAAAGTATTTATTAGAGTGGCGTGGGGGGGGGGGGCTTCCAAGAGAGGAATAAACCCAAAGGGACGGGTGGCAGTGGGCTTTTTAAGTACAATTTCAAAAAAAAAAAAAAAACACCTTGACAACCAGATTGGCATTCAGTTACCAGCCTGGGTCAAAACCCATCCAAAGGCCTCATTTACCGTTCTCCACCCTGTCTGGCCTGCTAAGGGTGGGATAGGTGACTTGTATCCACAATAAGCTGTGAGCTCAGGAAGAGCTCCCTTGCTATTCTCACGGTAAATTTGGAGATTCTGAAGGAAGGAGGGTGGCCTGTTTGTTCTTGCTAAAGATAATGTTTTGGGGAAGGAAGCAAGTATTTTACACCCCAAATTCCACTGGGATCCCCTGAGTACCTATTAACCCATCTGACTCCTCACATTCCCACCCACCTCCTGAAGACGGAAACCCTCACATCTGTTAGGGAACTGGGTGATGAGCGCTCTGGCTGCTTCATGCTGAAAGGGGCGTCTTTGGGAAGGGGAGTCAAAACGGCTCCAGCAGGAGGTGGCTTCTCTCCAGGGGATGCAGAGCCAGTTTGTAGAAACTGCTTCCATTGGAGGTTTCACCTAGAATTTTTTTTTTAAATCTGGAAAAAGGAATCTAACAAGCAGTTTAAACTCACAGGATTAAAATCACAGGATCTAAAACTGAGGACAAAGTCATTATTAGAGGCCTTAAGAAAAGTGGAAAGGACACATCTGATTCACAGGTCAGCCAAGGACCTAGTCAGGGCTCACACTACTCTATGCTTAATTTCTTTTTCAAGTTGAAGTTCCTTTAGGACTATTTTGTCCAGGTATACCTGGATAGTAGCTATTCAAACATCAAGAGCTGCTGTCATCTCAAATGGTTATGAACTTTTTCAGTTTTCATGATGAACAGTGTAAATATGTCTATATTGACAAATGCAGCAAGAGTTATTTAATGAGATCATGTGCACCCATTAGTCACATGCCATCATTAGTCAAAACCAAATTCTACTTAATTGGCCAAAATATAAACAAGAAAGGTCATCAGTGCCCGGCCAGGGTATATAAAGGGCCCAGGGCAGGAGGAAGGCACTCACACCTGACAACACCCAACTCCCCTCAACCCACCAGCCCACACCAACCCCAGACACCACCATGACCGGCTCCTGCTGCGGCTCCTTCTCCTCCCACAGCTGTGGGGGAGGCTGCCTCCAGCCCTGCTGCTGCCGCGACCCCTGCTGCTGCCGCCCCGTGTCCTGCCAGACCACCGTGTGCCGCCCCATCACCTGCGTGCCCCGCTGCACGCGCCCCATCTGTGAGCCCTGCCGCCGCCCCATCTGCTGCGACCCCTGCGGCCTGCAGCAGGGCTGCTGCCGCCCCATCAGCTGCTGCCCCTCGTCCTGCACGGCCGTGGTCTGCAGGCCCTGCTGCTGGACCACCACTGGCTGCCAGCTCCTGTCTGTGCAGGCCCCCTGCTGCCGGCCGCCCTGCTGCCAGCCGGCCCCCTGCCGCACTGTCTGCAGGACCTCCCCCTGCGGCTCCTGCTACTAAATTGTGCACTGACTGCCTGGAATAAGCAGCCAACTTTCTGAAAAGATCATGCTCCCATTTCTCTACCTAACAAACCTCCTGCCCTGAGCCATGAAGACCCCGAGTCTGGGAATAGAGATCCAGGTTCATCTGGCAATGACCTGGGCTATTCTCAAGTCTTTGTAACAGAAATGACTTCTTTATTTCCATCTTAGATCTGAATCCTTGAGACTTCTTATTTCCTAATAAACTTCTCTTCTTTGGCCTTGCAAGTACAGCTTTGGATTTATTTTTCCGCTTTTATTTTCATTAAATTTAAGCACAACAGTGACAAAAATGTATGATTGCCTGATATCTGCAAGTCACAGATTTCATGACACAGAATAGAAATATAAACTGAGTTAAAAATATTCCCCTTCGGCCAGCGCCGTGGCTCACTAGGCTAATCCTCCGCTTTGTGGCGTTGGCACACTGGGTTCTAGTCCCGGTCAGGGCGCCAGATTCTGTCCCGGTTGCCCCTCTTCCAGGCCAGCTCTCTGCTGTGGCCAGGGAGTGCAGTGGAAGATGGCCCAAGTGCTTGGGCCCTGCACCCGCATGGGAGACCAGGAGAAGCACCTGGCTCCTGCTTTCGGATCAGCATGGTGTGCCGGCCGCAGCGCGCCGGCCGCGGCAGCCATTGGAGGGTGAACCAACAGCAAAGGAAGACCTTTCTCTCTGTCCCTCTCTCACTGTCCACTCTGCCTGCCAAAAAAAAAAAATATATTCCCCTCACAAGATACATGAAGGGGGAAGAGTCAAATCCAGCATAATTCACCTAAAAAGTAGAATATGAAAAATTTACAGCAGAACATGCTCTATAGGGCCACCAGAGAGGTCCTGTTGATTGGGAAGAATGATACAGATTAACAGAAGCTCAAAATTGGGGCCCAGAGCAGAGGGAAGGGGGCATTCTTAGCAATGGAGTCAGTGCCAGCCTAAGTATGGAGGGAGGAGACGACAACGGTTATCCAGAGGAATAGAGTGGAAGAATAATTTAGAAAATATTAGCCAATTTGTTGCTAATGACCAGATTTAATTTTTTAAAATGGATGGATCTGTAAAACATCATACTTACTGAAATAAGCCAGTCCTAAAGGGACAAATACCATATGTTCTCCCTGATATGTGATAATTAACTGAGCACCTAAAAGGAAACATGTAGAAGTGAAACTGACACTATGAGAAGCAATGACTTGAACAGCCCTTGTCTTGACTGTCAAGAAACAGTTTATTATTTTATTTTTCTACTTAATACCATTGGTTGAACTCTTTACTTAACATAGAATTAATCAGAGGTGTTTAAATCCAATTGAAAATTGATCTTCGTTAAAAATAAGAGTGGGAATAAGAGAGAGAGAAGCTGTACAGTTCAGCACACTCTCCCTCAGACTTACCCCTAAGGGTAAAGCTAAAAACTTGCCATGGGCTCCAAATCCCATTAAATTGGCAGGTACCAATGCCATCTTACTAGTTGAAGTGATCACTTTAAGTTCATAACTGATCATAAAGATAGAGTTAAGTGTCAAAGGGATCACATAAATAAGACCAAGTGTCTGCTAATAATAATTGATAGAATTAGAAAGAAGAGAATGATCCAACATGGGAAGCAGGCCACACAGCAGACTCATAGAATAACAAATGCCCTAAACAGAACTCTGGCCTCAGAATCAGCTCTTAAGGCATTCAGATCTGGCTGAAAGCCCATGAGAGTTTTTCAGGCATGGAAAGCCAAGACACTGTGGCCAAAAAATGATCCACATGGAGGATCTCTGTGAGTGTGAGCCCAGTAGGAAGAAGGGGCTATCAAAGAAGGAGGTACCTTTCTGTGAAGGGAGGAGAGAACTTCCATTTTGCTTATGGCCCTATCTAAATACTGATGGAGTCTGTGGACTGAAAAGGCTTCCATAGCTTTGGCAGCTCATGTCAAGAGCCTCAGGTGATCACTGACATCATAAATAAGAGTGTTAATTGTTAAGTCAACAACAGGAGGCACTGTGTACTTACTCCCCAGATAGGACCTCTATCCTTAATGAGTTGTACTATGAAAATTAACTGTAAAGTTTGTTTACAAAATCATATTCATTAAATAAAAGCTTTCTTTAAAAAAGAAGAAGAAATACTGCTCACAATTTCATACCGGAAGGAAGGAAGGAAGGAAGGAAGGAAGGAAGGAAGGAAGGAAAGAGAGAGAGAGAGAGAGAGAGAAAGAAAGAAAGAAAGAAAGAGGAAAACATTAGCCAAAGGAGTTTGCTCTTAATGCTGTAAGCAGTAAGGAGCTCTTGAAAGCTTGGGGGCAGGGAACAGAATAACAAAAGTGTGGCATCAGGGTGATTGCTATGGCAATTCCTCACAAAGACAGGAGGCCAAAACTAGAGGAATAAAATCTCTATCAGAAGCTAATTAGGAGGCTGCTGCCCTGGTCCAAGAGATGGACAATAAGAGTTGAAATAAGTTGATGGCCATGAACTAAGAAGAAGTGCTGATGTGATAAATCTAGAAACTCAGAAGGTACACAACTAAGTTGAATGTGGGAGGCCAGAAATAATTAGGGAGCAAATATAACTTAGAGCAGTTCTGGGAGGAAACTTTTCTGGTCCAAATACATTTCAAAGAATTCTATCATATTTACGCATATTTATTGTGTATTTAAAATCACAACTCCATAGTACATTCTTCATACTATCTGATATTTCTATTCTAGAACTCTAATATATAGAGTACAAAAAACCCTAATGTATACTGAGCAAAACTGACATCTTGTGATTTGATTGTTGTTCATATCCCTGTGGAACAGTGGCCGGCCTACCTACAGATATTTGTACAGGTCTTTGTTTAGAGAAGCATTGAACCTGTGATTATAAAGAAAACTGAAAGTATGTTATCACAAAAATTCTTTTTGAAAGGAAGGAAGAGGGAAGAAGGGAGGAAAGTATTCTATTCTTGGAATTGTATCTATGAAATTCATTAAATCTATTCTCTATATATGAATAAAGGTGTAGTAAAAAAACAAAATATATTTTAAAAACAGAAGACAGAGGTTTACTAATACTGATTAATCCTGGAAAGTATCATGGCATAAAATGAAAAGAACTGGTCTAGGAATAAGGGATATGTTTTATACCCAGCTCTTCTGGCTATGTACTGTGTGAATATAACAAATCACTTAACCTCTAAAAAACAGAGCCATTGCCAGACTCCGCAGTGTTCTGACTGACATCAACTGATTCTGAGGAAAAATTAAAGTGATCCATACCACAACAGAAGTTTCCCAATTTAGAATTTTAAAGCTAAATGTTTCTATTTTCAACACTTCCTTGATTGATTCCTCCTACTCGTAACACTGATTTGTGCATTAGAACAAGACATGAGAAAAATATAATGGATCTTACTTTATGCATAACACCTTAACAATCTAGGAGTGAGTGATAGGGTTTAACAAACACATGCTATTAGTAGTAATAATGAAGTCAGCTTCTATACCTATAATGCTAAGTGGTTGAACAAGGTAATTTACTAACTGTTTGATCTCCAATATTCAATGATTACCTATGACTGCTTTTCTACTTCACACCTACAGCCATGATTCCCATATGGCATGAACATCTTTACTGGTATAAATCAGATTTACAAGTAATTCTATCGCTGTACAAATCCAAGCCTCTTCTCCACAGAAAGCTAACTATATGCTGCTCTTCATGATTGGAAGAGAGGAGTAAACCTACCACAAGTAACAATAACACATGTGTTACACTCCAGGGTTTTCATTTCTGCTCATCCAGCCCTAAACATACTTAGAAAGTCACCGCGAATTGTTTCTGCTATTATTTTGTTGAAATTTATCTTAATCTCTTTCTACCTACTGGGCCCTACTTGATCATTCATTTCCTCATCTACTTTTATAGGCACTGTGATCCAGAAAAAAAAAAAAAGCCTTTCCTTTATTTTCTTGGTCCCTCTTTATATCTTTGGTTGTCTTGTTCCTTGACCTAAGATCTTTTCATATGTGTATAGAAACATAAAGTGACACACACTGGAAAGGAAATCCTGCCTTCAAGAAATACTGTCCAGATAATCCATATAATGCTGATTTTATTTTTTATAAATGCAACTCATTTAAAATTTTTAAAAAATATTTAATTTTTCCCCTATTACTGGATATTATGTTTAGCTCCGCATTTAAATTAAATTGGAATGGAAGAGGTTTTGTTCCATATAGCCTCTGAGGTGATAAACATTTTCTCAGGTACAAATGTCTGAATCTTAGAGAAAACAGAAATCAAAGAGACTCCGTTTCTGGAGAGGTCTATGAATTTCTATGAATGTTGAGTTCATCAGAGTTTCTATCTGGCTAATAATAAAGACCACATTCTTATCAACCTGAAAAAACACAGTCTTTCATGAAGTGCAGTGCATGGTTAGCACTTTTCTCCCAGAGACCTGTGGGCTGGTGAGTACGGCCCCAGACTGCATCTTCTCGTGGGTAAGACTCACCTGGTCAGGTGACGTAACCACAAGCATGAAGCCAAGGCTGAGGCTGGGGTGGAAATTACAGCACTGTTTGGAAACAAAACATTCACATTTCTGCCAAGGACAAGCACATTTGGTGAGTATTATTAGCTGAGCAATAAGGAAAAGCCAATTTGGAGGTAAATTTAAGATAATTCAGCATGTAAAATCAGAGGGCCCTAGAAAAGCTGCTTTAGAGACTAACAAGATAAAAATGCTGCTTGTCACAAACAGAGGAGCTGGCCCAGGCTTATAAAAGGGCCAAGGCAGAGCAAGCAGCCACAGCTCAGAAACTTCTCTCGACAACACACACCTCACCTCAACTCCTGACACCATGGCCTGCCTTGCCACCAGCTTCTGTGGATTTCCCAGCTGCTCCACCAGTGGGACCTGCGGCTCCAGCTGTGGCCAGCCCAGCTGCTGCCAACCCAGCTGCTGCCAGCCAACCTGCCCCCAGCCCAGCTGCTGCGAGCCAATCTGCCCCCAGCCCAGCTGCTGCCAGCCAATCTGCCCCCAGACCAGCTGCTGCGGAACCAGCTGTGGCCAGGAGGGTGGCTCTGGATCTGTGATCTGCCGCACCCGGTGGTGCCGCCCTGACTGCCGCGTGGAGGGCACCTGCGTGCCCCCCTGCTGTGTGGTGAGCTGCACTCCCCCCACCTGCTGCCAGCTGCACCACGCCCAGGCCTCCTGCTGCCGCCCATCCTACTGTGGACAGTCCTGCTGCCGCCCCTCCTGCTGCTGCCACTGCTGCGAGCCCACCTGCTAGAAGCCCACCTGTTGAAAACCTCCTTCTAACAGAAATCCTGAGATGACGGTACCTCAATACTAACTAATGCAGAGTCCCGACACCTTCTGAACTCCAGCACCTGTAACGTGAAGACTTGTCACACATCTATAGAACTTCCCTAGGATGTACATTCATTTGCAATGGAAAACCAAAAACCACCCATAGAGCTCAGTGTCAGCAGAAGCCCTGCCATGTAAAAAGCCATTGGTAAGACTTTACTATGAATATCACCTGAAATAACCCAACAGCTCATTGGCACTGGGACTTAATAAAGAATTTCATCTTTGAATAATGAAGCTATTGTTAGAACTATTTATTTTTCTATGTTATTTGTTAATAATACTGGGACACTGAGATTTTTCAAAATCTGGCTATGACATAACACCTTGGATTTTCTTTATTTTTGTTCTTTACATAATGTCCTTTAAAAGTGATTTGTGTGTTTGTGTGTGTGTGTGTGTGTGTGTTTCCATTAAATGTCCAATCTGAATGAAAGGACACCACAGTGCACGGGAATGTTTTCCAAGGTCCTCACATGTGCAAGGTGTTGGGCCGGCTGCTCCAAAATACCAAGTTTACCCATTTTACAGAAGGGAATCTCCTGTCATTCACATTTTTGAGGTGTTGTCACATTCATTCATTCATTTGTTCATTCATATATGGGTCTATGTACAATTCTTTCAATCACCCCAGGTATACAAAAACATAAAATCAAATGGGAAAGGCAATAAATACAAGACTGTAGAACAATAGTGTAAGATGTGTGCTAGTCCCAGCTTTGCAGCTAACAATCCAGCAATTATTGAGAAAGTCCCTTCACATGCCTGGGCAGCTATTTCTAATCTGGAAAATCAGGGAACCGAGTTTTATTGCTTACAATGTCCCTTCCGGGCATGGGAGAGTAGATCATACTGACAATTTAGATGCCCAAAGATGGGAAAATATTCAATGGTCAAATAATGCTGTGCATTTTATTACCACCTTGAAGGATTATAAGGCACATCAGACTATTAAAGGAGCTGAAATGCCCTGCAATGAAGACATCACTCCTAAACTGACTGAGCCGGGCCAGACTGTTCTATTACCTGGTTACACCCCATAACACGACAGCTTTTCAAACTACATTTGGAACATGGTGAGAGAGAGAGAAAATATCAGCTGATGCAATCTTCTCATGGGCTGTGAAACAGAAAATACATGTTTGTAATGAAAATGAATTTAGGCCGGCGCCACAGCTCAATAGGCTAATCCTCTACCTGCGGCGCCAGTATTCCAGGTTCTGGTCCTGGTTGGGGTGCCAGATTCTGTCCCAGTTGCCCCTCTTCCAGTCCAGCTCTCTGCTGTGGCCCGGGAGTGCAGTGGAGGATGGCCCAAGTGCTTGGGCCCTGCACCCGCATGGGAGACCAGGAGAAGTACCTGGCTCCTGGCTTCGGATCAGCGCAGTGCACCGGCCGTAGCACGCTGGCTGCGGCGGCCATTGGAGGGTGAACCAACAGCAAAGGAAGACCTTTCTAAGAGAGTTCTGGAATAAAGCAAGGATGAAATAAGAGAGGCATTTTAGGACTTCCATTCCATGGCATAAAAGCTTTGCTTATCAAATCAAAGAGGGGAGCCAGCAGCTAGGGGTCCAGGGGATAGGGAGCAATTACTCAAAGATTACGGATGTTTTCCTGGGGCGGGGGGGGGGGGGAGATGAGCAAGTTTGGAAGCGAGGGAGATGTGGTTACACAACATGATGAGTGCACAAAGGTCACTCAATCACACACTTTAAAATAGGTAATTATGTTATATGAATCTCATATCAGTTAAAAAATCAAAAGATCAGGGCCCCCAGTAGCATGATTTTACAAGAATTAGAGAAAGTGCTACCTTCAGGTAGTTGGGGACCCGGGACACACAGCTCGCGGGCTGATGGCATCCCATTAGGGAGAGCAATGTGCCCTTTCCTCGGAGGGAACAGAGTCCCACTCCAGGGCAGGACCTGCACATCCACACTCATGGGCAGCTGCTAGCGCCCCCAGACACTGCTCCCGAGCCTCCCCTCGCGTAAGGTTTAGGTTGTATGCACTTGGTTACCAAGGAGGGCTCTGGCTCAAAAGTACCCAGAAAAGCTAGGCTGGCCACCAGGAGAAAAAAGGGAGATTTTGTTAGTTGGTGTAGGATGAAGGAGCTGGGAGTGGAAGAAGGTTCTTGGAGTTTATGTGTTGTCCAGTCCAGGTCACCAGGATGGACGCCCAAACAGAAGCACAGAAGCACAGAAGCCCTGGTGGCAATGGTGTGTTTCTCTGGCTGGTGCATCCACGTCTTAACCTCTCACAGACCTAAGTGAGGGGGATGCAACTGTGTTAGAGAACTAGCAAAATGGAGATGGAAGAACAGGGAGAGCCCCAAACACTTATAACTAGAACACTGGAACTCTGACACCTTCAGGAAAAATAACTCAAAACATTAGCACCTAACTTAAACAGAAGTAAAATATTCATTCTTATGGTATTGGGATGGTCTGGGCCTCCTAAATTAAATGAAATAATGAAACAGAGTAAGCACAGTAATTTTAAAAAGATGCAAATGTAAAAAATTCTGACTACGGATAGAGGTGCCCATGATAACAGCACAGAAAATGTACACAGAGAAACACCACCAATGCTGCAACTTGTTACTCTCTTTTCAAGGGAATCAATGCAGAAGCAATGGATTCCAATGGCAGGAGAAAAGATTCTGGTTAAATTCTATTTCCTTGATTTATTTAGGGGAAGTAAGGGAATGTGCAAATTAGTCTTTGGTGGCAGAAGAGTAAAATTCTCAAACTTTAAGTGCCACACCCTATTCTTAACCATTCTCTGAGGGCAATTAGACCAGAAGCAGAGAAATGGAGTTGGGTTTTGCACTGAGGGAGATGCTGAAAACAGCGGCCCAGTTGAGAAGCACAGAAAAGGAGGCCAACTGGCAACGTGCAACGTGCCTGTCTCCACCGTCCACAGTGAGGATTTCAGCTCCTCCACTGTCAGAACTTGAGTGAGGGGCGAGCAGTCATTTCAGTATCAAAGGTTCTGCTAAATTTAAGTAGGAATTAAATAGCTCCTGGGATTACCATCATGACAAATCCACATATATCAGTTATCTAAGGTAATAAAAAAAATTAGCTGGTCAAAGAAACTGCACAGTAGCTTTGCTTAAGAAAAATCAAGATGGGGCCGGCGCTGTGGCATAGTGGGTAAGAACGCCAACTGCAGTGCTGGCATCCCATATGGGCGCTGGTTTGAGTCTCAGCTGCTCCACTTCCAATCTAGCTCTCTGCTATGGCCTGGGAAAGCAGAATAAAATGGCCTATGTCCTTGGGCCCCTGCACCCACATGGGAGACCCAGAAAAAGCTCTTGGCTCCTGGCTTCGGATGGGTGCAGCTCTGGCCGCTGCGGCCAACTGGGGAGTAAACTAGCAGATGGAAAACTCTCTCTCTCTGCCTCTCCTTCTCTCTCATGTAACTCTGACTTTCAAACAAACAAATCCTTTAAAAAAGAAAAAAGAAAATCAAGAACCTTACAAAGAATGATACCTTTCGATTCAAGTTTGATGTGGGATTTGAAAATAAATCTTAAATATGATTTAGGAAAAGTTATGACCCAAACTTAAGACTGTCATTTCTAGAGAAACAGAGTAATACTTAACATTCTGGCTCAAACCCCTGGAGTGGCATTCTAACTTCTCTGTAGCAGAGCCCATGCTCCATGCAGGTCAAATCACCTCACAGTAGGTCTACACAAGACCTTCATCCTCACCTTCATTCAAATTATATAAACTTTCCAGTCAACATCTACAATGAATCTGCATAGTACAGCTCTAACTTACTATAGCATGTCACATAGCTTAAAATATATATGTCACATTCTATAATTAGTAAGAATGTGATAGTATGACATACTCTAGTATGTCATAAACCATAATTAGTAAGAGTATTGTTTTTATGCAGTTAAGAACATTTAAAAATACAGAACATCCTAAAATAAAAAACTAGAAGAAGCTTCAAGTTAGGTAGGTTACTATTTTAGCATGTGAGATTTTCTTGAATTATTCTTATACTGTTGAAAAAAAAAAAAAACAAATAAATAAGGGTGGGCCTTGTGGTGCAGTGAGTTAAACCACCATTTGGGATGCCCACATCTCATACCAGAGTGTTGGGACTGAGGCCTGCCTTTGCCTCCAATTCAGCTCCCTCTTAAGATACCTGGGAGGCAGCTGCTGATTGTTCAAGTGCTTGGGTCCCTACCACCCATGTGGGAGACCCAGATGAAGTTCCTGGCTCCTGACTTCAGCTTGGCCCAGCTCTATTTGTTATGGGCATCAGGAAGAATGATCCAGTGGATGAAAGTGGATAGAGCTGAAAAGATCTCTATTTCTCCCTTTCTGTCACTCTGCCTTCCAAATAAACAAATAAACAAACAAATTAAATTTCTGGAAATCTTTAGAAAATGGTGTTATCATTCACCCTAAACTCTGCCTTTCTTTCTGTTACTCTCAAAAACATTTGGAAGAAAGTAGGCAGATTTTCACGTTTTCCTTTCCATCTTTTGATTTTTCTTAGAATAACTGCTTCCATTAAAAAAAAAAGTGGAAATTGACTGTAGTAGTTAACAGAGTTTAGCCTGGAGTCAGAATATATAGATTCAGGCTCATCACTTGTTAGTGAGACCTTGAACAAGTTACTTATAACTCTGCGGCTCAGTTGCCCACATAGAAGATAAGAGTAGCAATGGTATCTACCCTATGAATTGCTGTGAAAATTAAATAAATTGATCCAGACAAGATACTCAGAACTGCCTAGGCAGACAAGAAGTGCTCCAAAATATTTACAATAATAACTCATTATATTTCAGACCCAAAGAAATCATCCCTTTCTGACATTCCCTTTACACTTCTTGCCTGGGTGTAAAGCAAAGCTGAGAAGGGAAGAGAAGGGGCAGCCACCAGCATTGGAGGCCACGTTGTCAGGGGTTAAACTGCCTGTAAGACCCAAGAGTGCAATAAAAAGCATCAGTATTGAGTAACATCAGCACTCCTTAAAGGTGAGGGGCATCGATTCATTATTCTTGGAGCAATGAGGACATTTTAACCAACATGGGGGTCCTAGGGTAATGTTCCCAATGAACGCTAATGACTACTCAACCATGGCAGAGAACCTTAATTGAAGACCAAATAAAATAAACTTTTAAAAGTTTTCAAAGGGTTAAATAAGTAACTCAGAGACAGGTCAATTATCATTCAAAGGCAAATTATTTGAACATAAACAAGGAAGAGACT